ATAGAATTCATGTTTTTCGGGTACCCCATTTCAAGCGTTTAAAAAATCCTCCCAATCCTGTCAATCTTCCTTTTTAACTTTCAAGGCCCCCCATGCCCCCCCCCCCGACTTAAATAAAGACTGGTCCCTAAGGTATGATAGGTTACGGCTGCAGTACGAGTACAATAAATCGGCTGTATCGTTCCCCATTCATATGAAAACCAATCTATGCAGTTCTTGTTACAGAAAAAAATGATTGCAATTGCTGAGATGGGAAGAGAAAACGAATGGAAAAAGRATAAACCATTACCTCACGAGAGTATTCACTAGCGAACTGAATGAACACCTCCATTGCCTTGATTGATGAATGACACCTGTCAATCAACAGTAGTAGCACAAAGACARTCAATAATATTATAGCAATAGTATTAATAATAGGCAGATTAAGATTCCCGTTTTTCCTTCCCGCAAACGGCAAACGTGACCACGTTTTCATCGTTCCCCTACATTTCACTTTACCTTTTGCAAACCTTCTCGACAAAGACAAGTATTCTTTTGTTAATCTACTACTTGGAGATTCTTGCGATTCCTTTTCACTAATTTTAAAGAATATTTTAATGGTCAACTGACGTTTCATGTTTACCGTAAACGAGAATCTTAAACTCTCTAATATCGAATGTACGACGCACGTCAAGGCCTTTGTTGACCGCATTATTAAGAACTCGCAAATCTAAAGAAATATTAATAAAAACTATGTTTGATAAATTGTGATTGATAAATTGGTTCTAATAACCTTACCTGAGAGTATGTAAAAGCATGGAAAATAGAGACTCATAATTCTGGGCTACTGATCTGGTAAATCTGTAACTAAGCGTTCTTATTAATGGGGTCAAGGTACGTCCAGTTCTCAGAAGGATGTTTTATCAAACAAACAGATTTCAAATGTCTCACAATATTTTCACTTACCAAATGGTCCAGAACAAAACTGCTCGGGGTTTCTCATTGGAGGTCAATAAAGGTTTAGTACAGAGTTCGACCACGTCTGTCACATTGCACACAGGGGAGGGGAGAGGTTTCCCGAGGGAACCCCTGTGCGTAGAAATCAATTTGTTTTGAGTTTCATGAGTGAGACTTTGTTCGTAGCTGCATCCTGTTGACTCGGAATGAACGTCAAAGTAGCAAAACTGTACGAATGGTAAGAAATCTTTAGCGCAGATGGTCACGGCGTTCGAGGGGCCGCTATGCCCGATGGGATGGTTTGTTAAAGTTTTGACGGATATCACGTGATCCTTAGACGAAGCTGGTAGCTGCAAAGGAAAGAAGCTTCTAAAAATCGGCAACAAGAAAAAAAAAGATAAACCTTGACGTCGGATGGACAGTTTATTACTGGAAGTCATTTATCGCACTGAGGGATTTGTGTCATTGAAAACTTTATGATTTATGATTTATGATTTACATGTAAGGCTCTTTTCGTTATGAATGAGAAGTGGTTAGTATGAGGTGTAGGCACTGAGGGTGGTCACTGCCAGGGTTTCTTTACGTCCTCAGTGGTTCTTTTAATGTCCCTCGAATATTGGTTAGTGATGATGAAGTGTGGAGAGTCGGGACCGCTATTTTGAAGTGGTCATACTAGCCACTTGAAAGTCTAAACATTTGTAGATTTAATTACAAAGGCAGCTCTTTCTCCACAGTTATTTTAAGGCCCTAAGCGTTGGTTCGGCCGCCAAAGCTTAAGCCCAAGATTCCGCGCAACTGAGCCAAATGGGTGGCGCTTTTAATGCTAATAAGAATGTAACATGTCAGATGCTGTCCACTTCTAGTTGTCTTTTTAGCAACATACAAAATCTCATTCTCAAAGTATATGTTTCTTATAGTCAGCGCGTCTTATTCCATCTCCTCATCCCATCCAATTCTTTTGTGCTGACTATAAGGAATGTGAGCTCTCAGCAACAACCATGCTACCTGCGCATGCGTAATTCCCGCTATCTTTAAAAGTGGGTTTAATTACCTTTAAGTAGGTACATAAAATATCTTTGTCCAGCGGTGTTCCATGTTCTTCTCCATCCATCAACACCTGGTACCCAGTCACAGTTGCGTCACCATCGTCATGTGGTAAGGACCACGTTATGTTGGCATTCACTAATCCTGTGGAAAAGATGATAGTATTCTTTAAAAACTCGTAATGTTTTATACCGCTCCGAGAAACGAGAAGTTACGGATTTAAGTGAAAATATTCTCGAGTGAAAAAACAATTATTAGAGAGGCTAAGCTTCTCATTTACGGCAAACGTGAAACGTCAGTTGACCATTAAAAAATTCTTTAAAATTAGTGAAAAGGAATCGAAAAATCTCCAAGTAGTAGATTAACAAAAGAATACTTGTCTTTGTCGAGAAGGTTTGCAAAAGGTAAAGTGAAATGTAGGGAAACGATGAAAACGTGGTCACGTTTGCCGTTTGCGGGAATGAAAAACCTGAATCTYAATCTGCCTATTATCTATCGACGTCAGTACTGTAACAAAGCTTTGTTTGCCCCCTGGACACCCCATAATGCATTGCGATTCAAAATGGCCGCCGTATAGCCGAAGTAGTCCATTACCCTCGATATCGAGTTTGTCTTCCGACCATGACGGTACTATGTCCGAGCACTATGACTGGATAAACAGTAACCTTGCGCACTGTGATTGGCTTGAGGATGCCGTGCCGTACCGTAAGAGTTCACGCACAGTTATTTAAAATGTACTCTAACAATCACTACATCATTACCTGTAAGATCCTTGATATTTTGAACGCAGTTTTTGAGTTCAACTTCAAGGTTACTCATGGTAGCAAAATTCTTACAAATCTGTAAAAGGAAAACGTACAACTCAAAAGCTGGCATCAAAAAAATGAATTAGAAGAAATTTATTGTGCAACTGTAATGTAAAGAATGTGCAAATTGAACAACACAAAAGTTTTAAAATCCCACGAGTTTTTAATGTTATCTGTGAATAGCTAGCTCGCATTACTAACGAGGCCAAAAATGTGTGAATGAGTCTGTGGTCATCAAGATCAACGGTGTGCATCGAATGAGAAAGAGGAATATATAACATTCCTCTCGTTCTCATTGGTTGTATTTTTTACGACTTGCAGGGATCAAATCCTTGATTGTTTACCAAGTTCTAGAGAATAAAAACTTGGCCATTTGCCTTTCCAAAGTTCGAGGAAAGACTGGTAACGACATCGTATAGCATAGGACTGTGGGACTTAATTTGGGAATGAAACTAAAAAGCTCCGCCATTTTGTCACCCACAATCTTTCGCAGCACCAGGTCATTACCGGCTTCTTCCTTAAATTTTGGAAAGGTGAATTCTCACCTGTATTTCTTTTCGTTTGGATCCTTTCACGACCACCGAGTTCTGTAGCGACTGTAGCTTCAGGCAGATTCTGTCCTTTATTTGAGCAAGTCCACAAACAAACCTTTCCAATGCTCGTCTTTCGTTTAACCCGATAACGTTCACTCTGATCTGCGGTGGATCTGGGGGAACAGCAACCTTTGTTTTGATTGGCCGAGAGAACACCGTTATGCACCCCTCAGGGAGAAGGTTAACCTCAAGTACTACCCAGTAGGGTAGGGTAGGGAGCGCATTGTCCAAGGTGTCTTCATTGGTGCTATCGTTTAAGGGGCCATGAGTGACAGTAGCAGGATTGTTAACAATGGAGTCATTTGTTAAGTTTGGTTCTTCATTCGCCAAGTAATGCACCTGATATACGATAGAAACCAAGGCAAATGTATCAAACACCTTTTCTCATTTCTGCTTCTTTGTTGCCTCTTAAACAACAACATATTTTTTGGGGAGGGGAGGGGAAGGGAGGATGAGATGGAGAAACATGAACATAAACAAGAACTATTACGGTGTACATATAACTCACCTTATATGATTTGACAGTTGCCCCGCCCACAAGATCAAGAGTATACCAGGTCACGTGGATAGCATTAATATGATTGGACGGTGCACGAGTTATCACAGGAACGAACGCACCAGGGYATGTAACTGAGAGTACTTCAGACCAGTTGCTATGGCAATCCTCTTTGGTACTTATTACCTTAAAAATACATTAGCAAAAACGATTCAATGATGAAAATTTCGTAATTTTTTTGCCCAAAGAGCCCTAATCTATATAAATGAGAAAAAGGTTTTACAAAGACAAATAAAAGTTGTCGAAGTTATTCATTATATTTTTAACCGTTGGTATTTGTGAATATTCTGACGATGTTATTAGGCAAACCCTGAGTAAATGAGTCTGCGATCAAGGAATACAGCGGTATTTCACGAATTTCAAAAAGGTCTAATCATCGTACCTTGATTTGGAAATCATAAGTAGCACAAGGAGTGCAGTCTTTCCATTCAAAACATAACTCGCTGCTATCAAGGGTTGATCGTACGACATCGTTGACCTGAAAAGAAATGGCAAATGTAAATAAATCCCATTCCTCTTGTTCAAATGTCACGTGATATACTCTGTTCTACAAATAGCCGCCTTGTAGTACATTACCCGTGCAGCTCAAATTGAAGGACAAAATAAAATAATTTTACTCTAATAATAATAAGAATTTACATCTTTGTATAAGCCCCTTGCAGCACGTCGGAATACAGCTCAACTTGGAGGACATAACAATTGGTTTCCAATTCTCTTGAGATTAAAATGCTTTTGTTTTGTCGGTCCTCCAAATTGAACTGCTTTGACGTCACATGTAAGGGTCTATTGATTGTCCTCCTAATTCAGCTGGTCAGGGAATTGATGCAAGGGGTCTATACGATATCATCGTACACAGGTAACCCAACACACCGTTTCTGATTTCAAAATCTCTTTCTCTCCGTTGTCTGATACTGATATATCAAGTGGCAATGTATGGGAACTTGTACACAGGTAACCCAACACACTGTCCTTTCAAAATCTCTTTCTCCTCGTTGGCTGATATTGATGTCACGTGACGATGTATGGTCACTTGGACAGAAAAACCTATTGCCAATAATTATTATTGATATCTGTCATTCCTTACCTTGATCTCATAGGCGTGAACAGTAGCATCCCCCATTGGTATTGATCTGTCCCATTCGACTTGGATACTGGACGGTAATGAAGAACTAAAGATAACATTCAAACTGTAAATAACCATTAAACTTTAAGGTAATGCTAACTCATCACTTCTTACCTCAGTCGAAGCTTGGGTGCAGTTAACGGTGCTGACGTCTGGACAGTCAACTGCTGAGATTTCGACACCAGTTTTCCTTGGTCATCAACAGCCGCAACTGCTATGAAGTGCCTGGTACCTGGTTTGCAGTCTTCAATAGTGTAAGAGACATGATCTACTGGTACAATTGTTTCTGTCGACTAAGAAAATCAAAAGAAGGTGTTTGACCTCCGCCTGAAGTCATGCTCAAGAAAGTTACCATCGAAAGAACATGCATGTGTTTCAAAGATCGCTTGTTTGTAAAAAGTCTGATTGCCTGACGGGGTTTGAACTCGCGACCTCCTGATAAGGCGCTCAAAACCTCATCAGCACYTCGACACACGCAAAGAATCTTGTCCCCAAAAAAATTTCTGCACAGCCATGAGACGTAAAAAAAATCCTGCACAAAATAAATTGCCCAACCCCCCCCCCCYAAAAAAATCTAATGGTCCGTCCCTTTATGATAAAAGTCCAAAACATTACCTGAGGATGAAGAACCGAGCTCCATTTGATCACGTAATGATCGACAATCAAGAGATCTGGAGATGAAAAAAGAAGACCGTTAAGGCGCGATTACGGAGCAATTTTCTCTGCAACTTGCGTCGTAAGACAAGTTGCATGGAGCATTAAAACGTGTAACCTAAAGCGCAATTTGAAAGAATGCTAATAATAATAATAATAATGATGATGATAATGAWGATGATAATGATGAAGATAATGATGATGATAATGATAATAATAATAGTTCATCAATTGGTATCTTACTGTTATCTTCGCTCCATTCAACAGTAATGCTATCATTCTCAGCCCATACGGGTTTGATTCGAATGTTCTGTTTAGGRTCCAGGCTCTTGTCTTTTACTCCGGGTGTACAGATCGTGAGGAGATTGGACGGATCTGAGCCGCCAAGATTAGGGTCAGTTGATAACGCCAGTACAACTATTCGGTAGACACTATAAGAAAGAGAAAAAAATTTATTTTGAATGAGTTGGGGAAACCAGGTCACACGGTCACGGTATAGTATCGACGTTGTCCATTGAGCCAGTGACTAATGTCACGGTAACGGCACGCAAAATCATCACGTTACGGAATTGCCGTTCCGTGACTATGACGTGTCTGAGAATTCTTATTGGATTACTGGTGATCTTGCGCGCTGTCATTGGTTCACGGAATGTCGTGAATTTCGTACCGTTACCGTATTTCGTAAAGTATCCATTCTCATGTTAGTTTTTAACAGTCAATAGAAATTTGCGCTTTGTCAAACAATACGAGTCTCGCCAACCAGTGCCTTTCAGTAAGTGTCAAGGTCGTACATGATCCTGAGATTATGAAAACAAGATTTTACTGGGGAGTTAAAAAAAGTCTTAATTTACGTACCTACTCGGCTGACAGTGAACCGCTACCTTCCTACTTTGTGGGCTCAAGAGCTTTCCAAGTTGTCTGCCATTTAGATTGACCTTGTGAAATTTAACAGTAATGTTTTTTTTAGAAACAGGTTGCCTACTTTGTCTGCTTGCATTACCTCCCCCTCCCCCCCCTTCCCGTTCCACTCCAAATTTTAACGCAAAGCTGTTTCTTCCATCTCAGACTGAGTGGATTCAAGTGAAGGGTTCATTATCAAATATGTAAATATGTAATATGTATGTTGACTGAACGTGATCTACTTACTTGATAAGCCCGTATTGTGTCCACTCCGTACATTTCAGGTTCATTCCACTCCACAAGAATGCGATTAGAAGACACACTACGGCACCATATCCAGGGAGGGTCGGGTCGACCTGGTACCTGTTATATCAAGCGGGGAAGGGTAGAGAATAAGYGATAAGAGAAACCATGGTATATGTTTTTAGTGAAGATTTCATATGACTGTCCAATCAAAATGGTCGGGCACGACACCGTCACGACCACGGCACGACCGGGTAAGGTCTTCCGTACCGTGAGTTTCTCACAGTCATGCGAAATCTACAGTTCACAGCTCGCTTAAACATTCATAAACAACAAAAGAGACAAGGAACAAACCTGACAAAACAAAGGACCCCAGGAGATCGATGAACCGTCTCCACGTAACATTTTAAGCCATACCGTATAGACAGACCTTAAGGAAAACAGTAAATAAGAAACTATTGGTTTAGCGACATATGATGTCAGCCCTTCAAAAGTTGAGGGAAAAATTTGAAGCAAGTTGGCATTGCAGTGCATTGTGAGTCTGTTTTAGGGGACTAATTTCCAAGATGGCGTCTATTTCGTCCCCTCAAACAATCCCACAATGCACTGCAATGCAAGGTGCTCGACGTAGTTTTTTTCACAACCTCAGAATGGCTAATACCCATTGACACCAAGTTCAAGTGTACCTTTGTTTAACGGGATAGATTTTATAACTACTGCTGGATGGCAACAGATAATCTTCTGACCCTTCATCGAATATGCTCTTCCAATTCACCTTGTACGAGCCCACGCCCTCCAGCGCAGCACTGGATTTCCATTCAACCACAACACATCCCTCATCAGACTCCTCGCTACTGGAAGACGAAACAGACGAAACATGGCTACCACTGGTGGGACTGTAGTGGATGTTCACTACTAATGGGTGTTCCTGTCGGGGGATTGTGACCTCTAGTGGTTCAGATCTTGACTCTTGGAAACTTGTATCAGTCTCATCATCTGACTCGAGTTCTGTTTTATTGACTGCGATTACTTGCTGCAAAACATGTAAAAGATGTGGTCAAACAGGTTTTCTTAGTTTTACTTTAATTTTTTAATTGGATTTCCTTGTCAATTTGACCTCCCCCTCTAGTTCCTACTGCTGTTTTCGTGAGCGCCATGTTGGCCGACTTGCGGTGTCAGCCAACATGGTAGCCATTTCTATTTAAGATAGCAAAAAACTGTCGCTATGGTAAGCTAATCCTTATCGCAAAGCCATATCCATATTTCAAAGACATGCTTTAAGTAAATAAATTACATTGATACCTCTATTCAGCAGATACCCTATATTTAGCGGACACTGGGCAAGGTCCCGAAGGCCGTCGCTCAAAAAAGGTACCACCGTAGTTGATTATGTATAGCTTAACACCTACCTTGTTGTTCAACCCCTCAGTTTTCTTGCTTCTTTTCCCGCCAGAATCTCCTGCTGTCGTCATGACGACAAGGTAGCACGTGTATTTCATCCCTGGTTTGCATCGTTTGAGAGTAAAATTGTGTTTATCTGACGTTAGTTTTGTGACCACTCGACCATTAACCTCCAAGGAATATCCACTTATTTGACGCACACGACCACGGCATTCCTGACCTACAGCTCTATTTCGAGCTTCTGAATCTAATGATAAAATAATATTTATAAATTTCTACGTATGAAGGGAACGCATGAGTGTATTTAAAATGAGTATTAGGTTAAGATTCTTCATGAACTCCTAGCTTTTTGTTGGAATATGCAAATTGAAGAAAAATACCCGTAGATACTAAAGAACAGTAGAGCGGTTTTCGTACGAGTACTGGAAACGATACGGCAAATTCTTAGACGTACCGTATTATATCGTTAAAATAGTTACGTACCATGTCGTACCGTGCATGTCGTACCGTGTACATGCTGTAAGTCAGTGCCGTATGTTTCCCACTCATACGATAACCATTCTTATGGGAAGCCATTTCAATGTTACGGCATGTCGTACCGTGTACATGCTGTAAGTCAGTGCCGTATGTTTCCCACTCATACGATAACCATTCTTATGGAAAGCCATTTCAATGTCACGGTATGTCGCACCGTGTACGTGTTGTAAGTCAGTGCCGTATGTTTCCCACTCATACGATAACCATTCTTATGGGAAGCCATTTCAGTGTTATGGCATGTCGTACCGTGTAAGTGCTGTAAGTCAGTACCGTATGTTTCCCACTCATACGATAACCATTCTTATGGGAAGCCATTTCAATGTTATGGCATGTCGTACCGTGTAAGTGCTGTAAGTCAGTGCCGTATGTTTCCCACTCATACGATAACCATTCTCATGGAAAGCCATTTCAAGGTTATTGCAATGTCCCTCTTAAAACAGTACTTACCAAGTAGAAGGGCTACTGGCTTATTCCAGGCAAGATGAATTTGAGTAGCTGATATTCCAGTCACAAATAACACAGGTACCCCAGGAGGTGCAACAGTACTGGCCGCCAGGGGCTTGGAGAGAAAGTCCGAACAAACGGAAGACACCCAGTCACTTTCAGAACTCCCGATACTCGATTCAACCTCATCGCCATCGTTAACTTGTTTGTCTTCTTCCTCGCCTTCTTCGACATCTTTGTCTAACAATCCAACAACCGCTTCAACCACAATACTATACACCACACCGGGCTCTAGGCCTGGTATTTCCGTCTGGGGTCCCATAGCTGAGCCCTGCGGCACTCTTATACAATTGCTATCTGAGACGACCCCTTGTGAAGTCCTGCTTTTCTTTTCAGTACAGTGTACTAAATAGTATAAGATCTCGAGATCGCCGTAAGCAACAGCAGGTTTCCAGGAAACATGTATCGAGAAAGGTGTCCGTTTGATCACGTGGAGATCACGTGGTCTATCAACGCCACTGGTACAAGCCTCAACAGAAACAGCTTCGCCAGAACATTGCCTGTCATTTAAAGCATCTATGTGCATGTATAATGTTTTAAGAGTGAACACATACATCGTCTTGGGATCGAGGTTATGGATGGTATATGACGTCATGTGAGGGTTGATGACAAAGTTAAATAGAGCATCGCCGAGTGACGTCACATCACCACCATCATCGTAATCACCATTATACTTTTTATAAACATTTAATTCAATATTTTTGAATGAACCGTTATCACTAGGCAGGTCCCAGGCCAAGCATATAGAGCTCACAGTACTGAACACCACTCGAACATTCTGAAGAGTGTCTGGTCGAGGTTTAGTGTCAAACCAAATCTTATCTGATCTTGAAACGTTCCAACCAGTATATTTTTCTGTATAATTTGGATGGTGGGCAAAAGCTTCGATTACCACACCGTACCTTGATAATGGCGTCAAATTACTCAGATGAATATTCAAACCTGCAGAAAAATGAAAAGACATCGGTAATGGGTTACTGCTTTGAGATATAGAGGCTTTGCACCATCACGTAATGGCAGCCATGACAGGGGACATAACAATAGAGTCTTTTTCCCCTGGGAAACTGAATCCTTTCTCATGTAAATAACATTTGACCAGAATCAATTTTTCCTGCCTCCTGTCATGGCTGCCATCTTGGATGGTGCAAAGCCTCTATAGACCCATTTTCAGAACACGTTATTCCTTCGAGAATAATATTACTCTGAGTGAAGGATTTGTTTCCAAAATCTCTGTATTTTTCTTTTATAGAATCTAAAATTGGATGCTCGCACATTCAGAAAAAAGGTTGTTTTTCGATTTTTTATAGACTGTTAACAGACTCTCTTATCTCTTCAGTCTCAGTCAAGTGCATTTTCAGCCTTCTTTCGGCTGGGAATTGGGGGATCGGGGAGGGGGAGGGGGAGGGGGAGGGACGATTAACAGCCTAATTCTATAGAATAAAAAAATCGTTTATACTAACTTGAAGTCTCGATGGGTTCCAGTTCCTGCGCAGTAAGCTCTTCGCTTTTCCAGCACTTCACCTTAAATATTTCCGGTTCAATGAAAACGTCATGACGTCGAGCTTGGTTCATTTCATCGCCCTCCTGTAGATTCCACTGAACCAAAGCTGAACAGCAACAGACCTGTTTTATCTGCACATCACAAACCCTCCTGACAAACCCCCACAAGTGGAGAGTGAGAGGGGCAGAAAGGAGCTTTTTCGCACTTCGTTTGTCTATTAATACGCTCGAGCTGCTTTCAACTCCACTGTCCTGGGGTTCCTGTGCCGGAGCTCCTACGTCATTAGCTAATTCTAAATGCCTTTGTCCTTGGCGACGAGCATCGTCTTCTGTGTTATTTATCAGAGCTAGTAGCGTAACTTCAATATCGTTGCCAAGTGACAGGATTGGAAGTTTCGCGCTCTGTAAATCAGCGTCGATGACGTTGTCATGGTTATGACCGTGTACACGGAGAATGTAACCCTAGAACACAAGATGGTAGAATTTTAGGACTATTATTATGAAAACCCATTCACAAGAATGAAGAGTAATAAAGATCAAAACCCATGAGGTATGACTGTTACCGTGATGTGACGTGCGCCATACACCATTGGTTTATCCCACGATAGATTGATAGCAGATTCATCCATGCTTTCGACACGAAGAACAGGAGCACAAGACGCCTCAAGACAACGAACTAGCAAGGTATTAGACGGTTCACCATAGCAACCACACATATGAACTGGTTGACTGGACTCAATCGCTTGTGGATCCACGTGACCTTTGACCTTGACCGAGTATTCACTACAATTCGATTATTACATATTATATTGGTTAACAAATAGAACGTTTACATCATATACTACAACTAACAGCACCCTTTGCGCACTTTCATTAATAACGTAACTAGTTATCTTACTGTTTCGATACGTTTGGGTCTCCTTGACGCCATGGGTCTCGGAAGTACTTCCATATGATCACAAGCTCAATAGCTTTCTTACCTGCCCGCAATGCACTCTGGGATAGTATAGGTAAACGAATCCATAAATATATCTGCGATGTCACCAGCAGGGCAGCTACCATGGAAAACGTCATCAACAAACACGTCATAGCTGGAGAGAAGCTTAAGCTGATCAGGATCGATAGCTGTAGTAATCGCAGACCACGTGATACAGATAGAATCTGGACTCGTTGTGGTGGTCTCACGGATCTCTGGTGGAGGGGGAGGGTGGGGACAGCCTATGGTAACGACATTTGATGGAGTGCTGTCTCCCACGTGATGTCGGGTTACGGCTACAAGACTAATGTGTATAAATGTACCTGTCAAGATGATAGACATAAACACAACGTTGGACACAATTCTCTGTTCGCTTGATTCCCTTTGACACCACTACTAACAGAAACCTTTTGTATAGACCCCTTGCAGCACGTGGGAATGCAGCTCAATCTGGGGGACAAAACAATAGGTTCCAATTCTCAGGAGATTGAAATTCTTTTGTTTTGTCTCCCAGATGGTGCTGCTTTGACGTCACATGGAGGGGTCTATTTCCCTTTCATGGCCTAGTAATAGACCGTTTTTGAATTAGTAAAATACCGCTGTGTTTCTTGATTGCAGATTCATTTACTCAGGGTTGGCCTTATTTCAGCGGACGAATATTCACAAATACCAACGGTAAAGTAAGGCCCTGGCTAAACAAGGAAACATGTTTCCAGAACTATGGTTACCGTTGGATGTCAAAATGTGTAGACATGGCCACCGACAACATAGCATATCAGGTCAGTGAGTGAAATTCAATGGACTTTTTTGGCTGTAAATGTGACAAAGGTATGCCGGATGAGATGGAGGAGATCAACTGCTCTATGAATGACTGTTATAACATATATAGAGTATATTACATCATAGTTTAATGGAGCAAAATGGTTGGGAAACCTATTGCTCTAGGGGTTTGTTCGACTTTATCCATTGTTATATGACGTTGACCGTGCCCACAGAAGGAAAAGTTGTTCCGTTTGTTCACTAAATTAGGGAATATAGAAGTTCTTTCCATATAAAAACCTTCTAAAAGAGTTATTATTTGTTAATTAATCCTATATGATTAATATTAATTGTTTATTGAAAAGGAAATTGCCTTTTTTCATGCTTTCTCATTTATCATCTAGTAACTTAAATGTATCTGCGAGGAAATGTTTTATCCGCATAATTTGTGGTTATCGAATGATTACATACTGTTATGACATATATAGTGGATTACATACCGTACTGTAGATCTGATAGAGTATGATGGATAGCATCATGAGGTAACAGCTCTCCATGTTGTTTGCCGTTCGCCAGTATTCGATATCCTACAACTCTAGCGTCTCCATAGGAACACGGTGGTCGCCAACTTATAGTAAACTATAAAGAAAGGCAACTCGGGCAGTCAGTAAAAGCTAGTCTCGTAAAGATCAAATTTCTAAAGGTGCCCCCTGTGTATAAGGCTAATAGAACCCTTGCAGCACTTCGGAATGCAGCTCAAATTGGAGGACATAACAATAGGTTTCCAGTTGTCATTCAAATTGAGCTCCTTCCATGTCACATGCAAGGGGTCTGTACTTAACTAGCCCTACGCCTACACACTTGTGTCCTAACTATCCCGGTCCCGTAGTAGTAGGGTAATCGTGGTAGTGGTGGTGGAGGTGGTGGCGGCGGTGGTGGTGGCGGCTTCGGTAGTGGTGGTGGTGGCGCTATAAATGGTGGTGATGGAGTTGGTGGTGGCGGTGGTGGTGGTGTCAAAATGTATAAACGGGGATTTCTTCGTCACGATTCGAAAAATTTAAACTTACTTCTCTGTCCCTGAGGGCTGTGACGTAGATAACAGGTGCTTTGGGTCGCCCAGGCATCGTAAAAGTTATAATCTCTGATCGAGGAGACGCCGTGTTACTGTCACGTGATATAATACTGCTGTCGATGGTATTTCTGTCACATGGTATGGCCACAACCGCGATTCTGGAATCAAAAGGACAAGAAAGATTTTTTGGGTGCAACCACATTACTCAAAAYCCATTGAGATATATAATTAGCAATGAAACGGCCGCCATATGGTTGATCTTGGAAGAGAAGCTAATGAGGAAGGTCAGCACTCGTTCACATCACAAAAAGGACCTATTGGAATATTAAACAATAGAGCGACGCAATAACACAATAGATTTGTTTTATTGTTTGACACTCAAAGCTCCTTTTGTTCTATGTGAACGAGTGCTAACCAATTAGGAATGCTTTCTTATCGTCAAAAAACATGGCGGCTATGACGTATGTAATATGCACCCCAAGAATAAGCACCCATGACAGGATCACTGAGACTCCTTTTCACCATGGGTAAGTCTTTGTTAGCTGCTCCTTTGTTACCTTACAACTAGATAACCGATTACCATTTTTAAGTAAGGCATTTCTTATTACCTGTAACGATGTCTTGGCTTGAGCCCACGAATCTCTATAACATCGTTTTTGATCGGCCAGCAGTGTTGCTCATTTGTTGCCTACAAAACAAATAAGAATCAACTACGATTTCTTTAGATGGTCCAAAAATGTGACAATCTTTCCCGAAAGAAACATTATTATCTTAAAACCACAGGAATGCCGGGTTACCTCATTATTTGGCCATATGTCAGGTGTTGGGCTGCTTTTGAAACCATATCTGAAATAGAGAAAGGAAAAATATGTTTTGATTAGAATGAGAAAGGAAAAGATTAGGATTAAAGTAGGCAAGAATGATGAAAGAAAGCAAAGAGATGAGAGGAAACACGAGAAGAATAAAAAGGGATGGTTCGGCTACCGTGATCAGTTTTCCAAATGATATAAAATCTAGGATCTAAAATTTCTGAGTTTCCTGTCCGTACTTATCTCCTCATTATTATTAATTAATAGTTATTTACTGCGGCTTTCATCAATTTTGTAAACTTGGTATTTTCGAGCTGCATGCAGAAATCTGGGTTTTTTTCCCCGCTGCCGTCAATCAAAAATAATCAGTCGGTACCTCTTATGTTCTTGACTGGCAGCAGTGATAAACCAATTTCACAACAAGCTCTTAAAATGTCGGAGTTCAAAGAATATCTTAAACAACAGTAATGTAAAATCTATAGCCACTAAAAGTTACCTATATTTGCTGTCGACTTCACTGTTAAACTTGTCCCCAAACACCATTAGGTAGTACACAGGTGAATCAATGCCACACTCATCCTCCCATTCCAGAATTACTGTATTCTGTGATGTCCCTTTGACAGCTACTGTCAGCTCAGGAGACAACTGAGTCCTAATCACAGATGAAGATTTATCCTCACCATAGGGCTCAGTAATAGTTTCTTCTTTATCATCTGGGACTTCTAATTCAGGAGTCGTCTGTACTGTTAGCATATACTCCTTATTATTGCTATCATTCTCCAATGATATTTCTTTTTCTTTATCTTTATCAGACTTATGAGCCTTCTGGTCAAGAGCAGGAACTTTCTTCATCTCGACGGATGGAGTACCTTGGAGAATCTGTACATCTCTGACAACAGGGCTTATGCCATCATCTGCAGAYTCCATCATCTCGTTTTTTACTATGGCATTCCAAAACATAACACTATGTTCTACTACGCTAAACCTTTCTTCAAAGGTTTCTATTTCTTTTAGTATTCCATAGGATTCACACCAAGGGGTTTCCATTGCTAAGTCATCACAAATCTCACATGAATAAAATACAAGTTCTTCACCGCTCGTCTTGCGCGAGGAAGACTTTGCAACGTTGGAAGATATTTCATAATCTAAATAACTGGAAATATTTCTGGTCCTTGTTTGGATACATTCAATAATACAAATATTTGCAAGCCCATTCGTATGTTCATTGTCATCATCGATGCCATCTACATAATAATCACAATTGGAAGAATAAACACACTCCCATTCCAAGAGATTAGTATCATTTGAATATTCTTCTAGAGGTCCATAGATATTTCCTGCAAAAGAGTCCATAGTTCCATCACATGCGCCTTTGTCTTGGCTGCCATTGTCATCTTTGTTCTGTTCTTGTAAGTCGTGTTCCTCAGGATGCACTCTTTTTAAGTCGTTATCATCGCCATCTTCCTGTACAAAATCTGCCCCGCCTTCAACAGTCTTATCAGCACCCTCCATCTCTTGATTGCTAGCATCATCTTTGTCCTGTGTATGCTCGCCTTGTTCCTTACTGATGCCATCCTCAGAGTGTAACCCCTTCAAGCTCTTATCATCATCAATTTCCTCTAGAATTTCTGCCCCGCCGTCCACATCCTCCATCCCTTCGTTGCTATTACCACTCTTGTTCTGCTCATCTAACTGCTCCAGACTCTCCTCTCTGATAACTTCATCAGTGTATTCCGTGGAAGATGGCCTGGGAGGGGGACTGACTACATCGAGTTGTTTATCCTCGTGGATGGTGTCCAGCGTACTCTGAAACGGAGATGTTTCAGGAGAAAAAAACGATGCTTCACCGTCTGGTCTGGAAGGCATCACAGCAACAGACAACTCAGAGACTATCAGTAGTTCCTTTGATACACTGGATGGACTCGTACTTGGGTTGCTGTCTTCTGATGTATTCACTTCTTGATCTTGTTGTATAGATTTAAGTCCAGTGGGTTGGATAATCTCGATGGGCAAAGGAAGGGAAAACTGTATTTCATTCGATACCAGCTGTGGATTTTCTCCTAAAAAAAAAAAGAGATTAACCTTGTAAGATGACATGTGATATATGAATAATGACGTAGGGTGTGACATCTTATGACGTCATTTCAACTTTGACGAATAATCATGTACGTGACGACACTAAGAACGGCCGCAGGGAAGACTAAGGTCAGATCAGAGAAATTGAATTAGACTAAACAAACATCAATTTTATCAAACTGAACAATTTTTAAACTAAAGAATTGGGATTTGGCGTGCTGGGTTTTGCAAGGGAGAATAATTGGACAAACTATAGAGAAAAACTGTGGAATCAAAGCTGAAACCCCAGAGGCGTGTGCACTACCGCTACAGCACCCTTGATCCATGGTAAAGTTTGACTTACCGATAACAGTCATTATGGTGAATGTTTTTTCTTCTTCGTCGACGTTCTCAGTTTCGAACAAAACTCGACAGTAATCATTATCTGGCTCGGCGGAAACCTGGCAAAGAACCAAAAATAATAACCGTAGGCATCGCAGTTATCGTGGTCATCATCAGTGCTGCTATTGATAGCCTATGAGTGTCATCCCCATCATTCAGGGACACACTCCCTTACAGCATGTTACTAGCATATCATATCTCAAGAGTAAAATTACCTGCTCTCTCATTGGTTGACCATTAACCAATAGATTGTATACAATGTCCTGATTGGCTGGCCAGACGATGACGAGAGCATCAACACGATCGCAGGTCTCCAAGGAAATGATGGGGCCACCAAATGATGAAACTGCAGGACACTTTATGATCTACGATTGAATAAGAAAATTCATTGCTGTGAAGAGGTTGCCGGCACGAGAAAAAAAGTGATACATGACACAAAACTAGTAAGAAGCCGTCAATTGAAGGTTTTATATTCAGAGGTACTGAGGATGTCCTAAATAATACGAACGAACGGGAATAACTCAGTTTTCGCGCGCCTTTACTTTTCATTCCCTGTCGTCTTTCCCTAGCGTATAAATATAAGGCACATGGCACGGTCACGGTACAGAAAATGTATCCTTACCAACTCATTGGACAACTGCGGACTAAACTCTTGCTGAGCTGGAAACACAACGATAACCACGTGATATCTTTTCCCGCCAGTAAGTCCGCTGACCTCTACCCCAGGACAGCTGGCACACAACCATCCTCCATAGGGCTGATCATTCAGGAAGAGCTAGGATAAAATACATTTATATAAAGTTCATTCCTATGCCTTTAAAAGACATTAAATTAAAGGTGAGGCAGTCTCTCCAGACATTGGGAGAGGACACTTATTGTCAATGAGGACTTATTACATACCATCCTCCACTACCCCCTCTTTACACACTTACATACACGAAAACACTGGATGAGATGATATACTCCCCCCAGCCCCCTCTAAGAATAAAGTAGGACCCAACAGCATGTGTACGGAGAGAGGAACTAGCCTCTGGCTATCGTACTGGACTTGGGTCCCGAGAGTATTAGCCCTGGTCGGCAGATTTTCATAGTGATTCTTTCCACTTAGATGGCATAAGGTATTATACTTACCTGGAATCCAGCGATCAAAGATGGCTGTGCGTTTGGGGAAAGAGTGAAATCAACGCGGATCACATTATCAAAGACAAAAGTACTCGAAATCTCAGGAGCACAAGAAGCCCATTGCCAGTTGGTTATCTGCAAAACAAACCAAATTAATACCATCATTTTCCAAACAAAGTGTTGGCGGAAACTTATTATAGTTGCCCTGGTTACTCCTCATCATTTTTTTCTTTATATTTTCTTTTCCATTTATTTTCTCTCCAATTCCCATTTCCTTTTGTACGGTTGGACTGCCATGTCCTTTCTGTTAAAATTCTGGTTCCCCTTCTCTCAAATTAAATGAATGCGTGTCCAAGTACAGCCCAGGGTTAAAAGCGCAGTCTGGCGCAGTCGTTGTCTAGAATCTTATTGAAGCATACCTCTTGTCTCAGCCCCAGGTGGTCTTCAATACTTTGTTCTTCAAAGGCAGCATCAACCTCTTCTTCAGCAAGAACCCAGAATCGTCTGTCAGTGGAACAAGTAACATGGTATCACGTAAGATAAATACTTTTTTTTGTAAGAAAAGAATGAATGATAATTATCCGGGATGTCAGCGGTTACCTCATATGACTTCAACAAAAAGAGAATATTTGATTTCAGGCTCAACTGTAACAACAGCAATTCTTTTTTTCACATCACAAACCACATGTCATTGAGAATATGATTCTTTGTTTGAATTGTATCTATATTCATGTCCCTTCTCATGCACAATCGTTAATCAAAGAAATGATAGTTTAGGAAATGACACGTGGTCTGAAATGGAAAAACATTGAGTTGTATCCATATTCATGTGTCTTCTCGTGCGCAATCGTTAATCAAAGAAATGATACTCTACAAATGACACGTGGTCTGAAAYGGAAAGACAGTGAGCTGTATCCATATTTATGTGTCTTCTCATGCGCAACCGTTAAACAAAGAAATAATATTCTATGGGATGTAACGTGGTCTGAAATGGGAAAACTTTACGCCCAAGCTGAAAGGGTCTATTAGCACTAGTCCATTACCTGGATTGCCCTTAACGAGTAATAACGTTTAACCATTACTATTATAAACTTACCTTGAGGTAAATATTTCACTGGGTATCCACCCCGTTTTTATTGCTATAGCTCTCACAAGATACAAACCAGCTCGACTCAACCTGATTCCCTCCTGCCAATCATAAACCTAGTAACCAATCAAAAATAAGAAATCAAAGATAGGCAACACACTATTTTCGAGCCCCTTAGAAAGGTGGGCAAAAATAAGACAACTGATAACAACTTAAATTTATGAAACCCAAAAATAGCATCTGGCCTAATCGAAGTCGGAGCACAGTTAACTCACAGGTTGCAATAGCGCAGCGCAGTCGTGACGTCATAAAAACGAAGACAAAGGCGAAATTCGGACAAACAAACTTACAAGTTTACTTTCAGCAGATAATTTTCACAGCCGATCGCAGTAGATCTTAGTTTACATGGGTTATTATTGTAACTTTAAGTAAAAATAATAAAATCGGTTCGTATAATCATCTTAGCGGTTAAACAGAATGCAATGTTTGTCCGAATCTTTAAGCTATTTTTAGAATCAGTGCGCTGCGCTATTGAACCAAACACGTTGAATTTTGTGGAGGTAGAAAAACAAGAGAAAAATCTCTAATCAAGGGAGAAGCCTAACGAATTCTACTCACATGAGATGCCGAGTCTAGGAATCAAATCTGAGAACCCAGAGGTGAGAGGCAAGTGCAGTTGTACTACACCACCCTTGACCAAGAAAAAATGCATACATATATATGGGATTTTCAACGCAATGCGATGAACTATATAGCAATCTACAGGTCTGCAAGATCTACGAGTACATACCTTACTATTAGGAAGATTTTCAACGGGCATGGAACCATCCAAAGTATAGAGAATATCGACATCGCGATCAACACATGACAGGAACACAGTGTAAAAGAGCTCCACCTAAAGAACAGCAAGAGATTCAATTCCATTTTCACCGTAAGTTAACTTTATAATTGGCACTATTTTTGCTTTTAGAGTGAAGACATTTAATCCGTAAATAAAAAATACTAGTCAACGTGTGATAGTCAAATAAACGCAAAAGAAAACAATGGAATTAGCGTCTACTTATGTGTATTAGTCTAATATTTATTTCACAGGTCTTCACTCTAATACATACATGCATAAACTTAACGTGTCAAGCTTCTAGCGTCTGACCACAAGTACTTGTGGTACACTAATCGGGGACACTTGCAATACAAATACAAATACAATACAAATAGGATTTTAGTTATACGATTTTCCACTCTGGGATGATATCGACCTGCAGATATAAGATAGATATAGCAAAGACGACGAGCATCGAGACGACCGAGATCAAGTCTGGCATCCTTATCAGGAATGAAAAAATGCCACAGCAATCCTGATGAAGAAGYCAGACTGCCTTGAAGCTGATAGACCATGGAAAATAGAGTACTCGAGTCACATCATCTTTGCTAAATCTGTGTATATACTTATTTTAATAAACTTCATAGTCACCAATAACCCAGAAATGCGATCGCTGAGGATCATAGGAAATACTTAATATCAAACAAGTAAAACTTTTGATACAAGCTGCAGCTTATGGATGCTAAGAAGAGGTGAGACTGTAACTGGTATAAGATGTGCAAGTCCATCAACAGTTATCAAGCGGTTGAAACATGTAAAACATATCTACCCATTATCCTTGTCTGTCTAACCTTTGTAGCTTTTCAGATTACCAATTTTATTGAAATAGGTTGACGTAATAGCCCAGTCCCCAGTCCCCCACGTCTTTTGCAACGTCTCCCCGAACGCACCACTGGCATGCCCGCGATCCAAGAAAGACCATAACGGATTCTTATATGCTAGATATAGTGTCGATAAGGTTTTGGAGATCTTTAATGAAATATTATGAGTAGAAAATATCAGTCATACTTACGTTGCCACCGTCATTACCATTAACTATTGTCGGAGGCATCACGCGCTTGGCTGGAAATAATAAGAAATGGTTCAAGAAATACAGAAGAGATCAATGTATATTATATTCCAATGCATAAAGAATGAATGGTGCTCTGGTGCATCTAATGAAATGTTGAAACTGAGAATAGTCCCTTTCACAGTTCCCTGCACCATCTTGAAAGGTAGCCGTGCCTTTGCATCGAAGCGAGACGAACGTTGAGCTTGCAATGATAGAAACATATGAATAATTGTACGTGTTAAAAAAACGTCTCTATCATTGCATGCTCAACGTTCGTCTCGCTCCGATGCAAAGGCACGGCTACCTTTAAAGATGGCGCAGGGAACTGTGAAAGGGACTATTGGTTTTGATGAGGAAGGAAAATAAATAATAATAATTTATTGAATATTTCACAAAGTTTCAATACTTTACATATCCTATTGAGAAATATATAGAATATATAGAATAAATATATAAAATTTAATATRTAGAATAAAAAACGCTAAATCCGAAGACAAACCCTAGAACCAAGGGAGAAACCTAACAAACTTWAAAAATATATGATCCAAGTCCAGCAATCAAATTCGAGACCCTAGAGGTGAAACACGAAAGCACTACCGCATCATTCCTTTTTAAAGACCCACCTTCATGAAGAACATCAATACGACAAGATTTCCCATCCGTCCCGTGTGACGTCACCCAGTACGAACCCGGAGTATCGAAGGTATGGAAAAAACTGCTTCGATTAATTATTGGACCACTCTCGAAGAAGGCCGGACCACGTGCAGGGACAATACTGTCCTTATCACTGGGGTTCTGTATTAAGAGAATGTTATGCTGCTCGTCTGGTATGCTTTCCCAACTCCATAGAACACTCTCGTGCTAACAAATGAATAGATAACAGGGTAAGAGTTTTAGCCTCAACATCGAAAATGAATAAACAAGAAGGTAATAGACTATGATTGTATTAAAGACAAATTTTTGAAGCGGATGCTGTAAGAGGCATCAGATCCTTTGATTGACCCATTCACCTAAATATAATATTTCCCCATTTCAGATCGTGTCACTTCAGATCACGTCATTTCCTTAAGAATAGGATTTTTTGTTTGAGTGGTATCCATATATTCATATGCTTTCTGATGCGCAACCGTTACAAAGAAATGATACTCTAGGGTCTGAAATGGGAAAACAGTGGATTAGGTCTATAAGTTATTCTGAGGCTGAGGAAAAAACTGGATCGAGTTTGCCGATTGCAGTGCAATGTGGGTCTGTTTTAGCGGACATATTTCCAAGATGGCGTCTATTTCGTCCCTAAAAGTAATGAGAGTCTCACAATGCAATGCAATCCCAACTCGACACAGTTTTTTTAACCTCGGAATGGCTAATTGGCCGAAGAGTCTTATTACATCATTTTTGGCAAAAATGTGAAAACCTTAGATCACGAAGCGGATGTTCCCGTACCGTGACCGTGACGGGTGTTAACATTAACGCTCAGACGAACTCTACTCCATGAGGCTAGAGGTTATTTTATCATGTACATCAGGTTCTTACTTTAGCAAGAGTGACCGTGTGGGGCTGGAACCCATCACGTGACACGTTTACACGACAGGAATATGGAGCGGGATCGACGTATATGGTATTGATGAAAGAATCACAGGCATGGATCTCAGGCTGAAAGAGAAATGATACATATCATCATCATCATCACCGTAGTCATCTTATATCAGCCATATCATC